ATAATGAAAGTTTGAATTAGACAATCTAAGAAGTCCTATCCAATTTTGTAATTCTACTGTACATACAAACTTGTATATTTATAGATATATACTCTGACTGAAAATCTTCTATCCTACTTTCTATCAATATCCTTAGATCTGTTTTGTGTGAGCCCAAAGCTACAGGTGATAGGGTATTTTTGTTTTTTGTTTTTTGTTTTTTTTTTTAATTCTAAGGTGTAAAATTATTTTCTTTTAAAACCATAATACTTTATTGATATAATCTAGTGTTAGTTATCAGAAATCGCATGATTTTCAGTCACATTTCTACTACCATAACTATTTTTATATTTGCAGAAACTATTAAGGAGACTGTAGAACGTTTTGGAGATTTTATTAAATTTTATTACACACACATACACACAAACACATAATCACCAAAAAATCTACTAGACATGTGAACAATGTCATTCATCCAAGGCTCAAGAGCCATTGCCAGGCTTGTCTACAGATGCTCCTAGCCTTAGGATGGGGTTACGTCCTGACAAACCCATCATAAATTGAAAATACCATAAGTTGATAATGTATTTAATATACCTCACCTACCAAACATCATGGCCTAGCCTAAGTGTGCTCAGGACACTTATTAGCCTCCAGCTGGGCAAAACCATCTTGCTGCGACTTCCCAGTTCATGAGTCTATCATATTGCATATCACAAGCCCCAGAAAAGATCAAAATTCAAAGTACAGTTTCTACTAAATATGTATCACTTTTGCACATTTATAAAGTAAAAAAAAATTCAAGTCAAACCATCCTAAGCCAGGGGCTTTTGCTAACCCTGAGCTTTTTGGCTCAGGTCAAAAGATCAAGACAAATGTTCTACAGTGCATACTTATTCATTTGTGTGTTTTTTGTTTGTTTGATTTTTGTTGACATACAAACGTGCACCTCTTTGATGTATGCCGTTTGACGAGTTTGAAGACAAGTACACACAATGAATCCATCACCACAGTCTATACTGTAAACACATTTATCACCACCAAAAGTTTCCTTCCATCCTCTTCATTTATTATTTGTGTGTGTATGTGATAAGAACACTTAAAATGAGATCTACCCTTGCAGACAATTTTTTAAAATTGATTTTAGAGCGAGAGGACAGGAGAGGGAGAGAGAGATAGAAATATCGATGAGAGAGAACATTGATTGGCTGCTTCCTGCATGCCCCCCACTGGGATTAGGCCCACAACCTGGGCATGACTGGTTATTGAACCAGTGACCTCTTGTTGCATGGGTAGGCACTCAACCACTGAGCCACACTGGCTGGGCCTCTGAGACAGTTTTTAAATGTACACTTCAGTATTGCTAACAATAGGCACTACAGTGTACAGTACATCTCTAGGACTTATTCATCTTGCATAACTGAAACTTTGTACCGTTTGACTAACGCCTACAAGTTTCCACTTTCTGCAGCCCCTGACTAGTAACCACTATGTGTTAAGCCATAATATGGAAAATAAACCTAAGACATGGTTTTGTCTTTTTTGAAGTTTGTGAACTAAATAAATGAACATGCCCTGATCATGATTGTTTAGGACAAGTGTATTATCTGGTTGGTTTAGTTTTACAACATACGTTTTAGCAGCAGGTATTATTATATCCACATTATTTGTGTTTGTACCTTGGTTTATCATATTACTAATGTATTATATTTTTCAGATTTAAAGATGCTTATATATTTTTCTTTCTGCCCAGTACTAAGGCTTATGAGATCCATTTTAGAAATGGGCTTTCAGACAACAATGATCAAAAGAGTCTATGGCATATGAAATTTCACTCTTGATAATTAAATGAAATAGTTCAAAACTCATTTTCTATTTGGAAATTGTATACCTTCAAATAAGACAATATTGATCAAATTAAAATTTTAATATATTAAGGCTGACAAATAGCACCAAGCTTGGGATATGAAAGGTCATCCTTGACTTTTCACACTAAGATATGGCCATGTTATTGTCACTCTTTTATGTACCCATCAAAACAATGCAAAAAAATTAACAATGTCACCCTGGCTGGTTTGGCTTAACTGTTAGAGTGTCGACCTGCGGACCAGAGAGTCCCGGGTTTGGTTCCCCCTAAGGGCACGTGCCTCGATTGGAGTTTGTCCCTGGCCCCAGTTGGGGTTGTGTGGGTGGCAGCCACTTGATGTGTCTCTCTCACATTGATGTTTCTCTCTCTCTCTCTTCCTCCTTCTCTCCCTCCCACTCTATCCAAAGATGGACGCAAAAGTGTCCTCGGGTGAAGATAAAAAATAAAAATAATAAAAATAAAAATTTACAATGTCACATGATGCAATCATAATTCAAGATACAGATACAAAATATATTTTTAAATTATTCTGTGAAAAATGTTCATTTTATCAAATATTTCTTCTAAGCAGGCTCTACTAGATTGTGTTTTAATTAAACTTTTAAGTGAAGGTTTACACATTTGTAGTTTGTGACATTTTAAATTTCTATTTCAAGTTCTCTGACATTTATTTTGAAGTCATAATTTCCTATATGACCTACCACATTGTTTACATTGCATTTACCATTTCATATGTTAAACAAAGTAGAGTTTTAGTCTCCATCAGCCACTTCTGCATGAGGATTTTGGGAGAAAAGAATAGAAATAATCACATCCCTCTTGCTCATTTGGGGAGAATACTATTTAAATTTGTTCTTAATGTGCGGCTGAAATTAATCTTGATTTCCCGTCAAATGTACAGGGATTTTACAATATAGTTCATAGTAGTGTTTAATTCCTCTAGGGAGCAAGTTAAGATAAACAAGTCACTGACAGTGTTTATCTATAAATATAGCAGATGGTGTGGGACTGAGGTTGGTTGTTAACTCTGCCGACTTTAATTTCATGGTTATAAAACACTGTAAACCTCACTGTTTATAAAAGGCCAGGGAAGAATCTCCAATGGGCTTCAGTAGCCAAGAAACCCTCTGAAACATTAATCTCTCTAACTGATATTCAGTATCCTCCTAGGGTGCAATATTGAAGATTGTGGAGTGATTGCTAGACACTTTAAAATTTTCACTGGGATCATTAGCTAGAATTTCTGTCATTGATCTATTATAACCTTGTTAATGAGTTCCATGTGAGTGAAATTTAGTGAATGAGATGATTCTTTTCTAAACTTTGCTAGGTGAATGTTTAACAATTACTTTAGGCAGTTGTATGTCTAAAAGATAATTTGTCAAAATAATATTCTTTTTCTTATGCAAAGGTAAATTATGATACCTAATTAGACCAAATGTACTTAGAGGTAGAATTTCATAAAGGAAAACTATAGCATCATTTGAATAATTAATGTACATTATATATATTTACATTTAGGCCATCAATCTGACTTAAAGGTCACAAAATGCCATTAAATTAAAAAGAAGCAAAATATCCTTCCTATTCAAAATTGATTTAAATATAATATTGTATTATAATATTTTATTTCACTAGAAATCTGTATGCTCAACTAGAATAAAATTAACTCTTCCAAAAAGGACCACTATTATTAAAATCGTATTGTTTGAAACAGCTTATTTTTTTTTATTTCAACTTTATAGTGAATAACAAAATTTATTTTATAACCACAAAAGTGAAAAGCTTAACTGTATTACTTTTACATTCAGAAGAGATTGATATTTTAGTTTCTAAGAAGGTCAAACTTCTATAAATATTACATACTGACACAATATGTGAGTTGGGGGATTAAAAATTCTTGAACTAAAAATGTCTTAACTGTATTAGAGTTTAGACTCCTTGAGAATGGGTTTTCTAATGACAAAATCCTGTTATTCTTCTAGTTCTTATATTGGGCTGTATCTCCTGGGCCAACGTGAGAGTTTGGTTACTGATCTGAAACAGGCTCTGCACTGTGCTTTCAAGCAATTTTCCCTAAAATAGACCTCAAACCTTGGTTTCCAAGGACCTCGCTTCTGAACAGCAGTAGTCCTGGGTATATGTTGGTAATATGTCTTCTCTTCTCCCTTCCTGTTCAAAGCCTACCATCACTAGTTGTCAAGGGACATATTAAACTGCTACATGATACACTCATTTCTGCAAAAAAACCTATCTATCTACTCATACTTGGATTTCCAGTACTCATAATGCACAAAGCATCTATAACAGATAACAGTAAATCTTCCCTTAAAGGAAGGCTTTATCTTATTTTTTTTTTAAGCCTCAAAACTCACCTAGATCATCATCATCACAGAAATTCATTATTGGGTCATTGGTATGTTTGGCAATATTTGTATTGAATTGAGTCAAAATGAGGGGTGATTTCACTTCAAAGTTATTAGTAAAAGTCACATAAATAGCTCTATCAATTTTTTTAAAGATTGTATCTTGTGTTTTGTGAAGTGAGGTGAAAATGTGTTTTGCAAAAAAGCCATGAAGACAAGGGTCACAGAGTGGCCACGAGGAGCTCTTAAGTGAAACAAAAATAGATAATAATAGTAGATGAAGAGGCTAAAAAGGAGAACCAGAATAGGTGGAATAAGTACAGCTGGATATTGAAATATCTGTGTCGAGAGGTGAGCAGAGGAATTGGTTCAAGGACTCTCCTTTGTAAGAATTCATAAATACAGTGGATCTTAGGGAAATGCAATATCATTAAAAGCACATTAAAACAATCACTCATGTAAAGAAGGAATCTTGTTCAATATCCCAATGGCAGCCTAAAATTACTGTCATTCCCCCCCTAGTCTGAATTTATAACTATCTTATAAAAGGTAGTCTTTTTTCTAATCATGCTTTGAAAAAAAGGTTTTTATAAGAAAATTATCTGATTAAAAGGTGAAAAAAGCTGTTAAAATTTAAGAAAAGTTTACCCTAACTTATTATATTTTATTAAAATAGTAACATAGAAATAAATGGCTGCCTTATAATATAAAGCAAATTACAACCCAAGAGATTAAATTAATCCATTAACTTTAAATGCTTTAATCTCATTTTCATTATTTTCTTTCAGGTTATTTGGCCCTGTCTCATGACAAAAGCATAGCATTGCATACAAGAAAACATACAAAGGAAATAACTCTAAGTGGATTTCATTCCCCCTTCAATGGTCAGTTAAAAATCAAACCTCTGTACAATTTTTTATTATTTATTCTCTCTAGAAATCTAGTAATTTTTTTTTAATCTTTTGTTTCTAGGAGAAGTAATTTATGCTGTCATGTGCATGACAGTCACCTGTGGAATCCTTCTCTTGGTCATATTCAAGCTGAGGTAACTGGATACAACTCTGAAGACAAGGGCTGGAACTGAATCAGCCCTGTTCAAGCACATTTCACAATGGCAGAGCTCACACAGGGCCGGAGAATGAAAGCTTCTCCGTTAAGACCTACTAAATCAACTTTTAATGTGGGCTGGGTCCATGGAAACGTTACCCTCAGTCATCAAGTGGAAGGGAAATGTGATCATAAGGGAATTTTTTACGTTGCATTTTATAAGCACATATGTATTGTTCCCCCAATTAAACTGTTATCAATCTTTTCCCTGGTTTTCTTACAAAATCCCAATTGAACTTTGCTGCATTCCTTCTTCAGATCACTCACAGGGTTCATAAGCTTACATAATGAACCTGTCGTGTACTTCACACAGTTTATATTTACCTGAATATGTACTCTTCATTCTAAATTTGTATATGCTAGTGAATTTTATTCATGTTTTAATATACAAGCAATAAGGCTTGTGTAATTGGAGGTCTCACAGGGTACCATTAGAAAGGCATTACTTCTGCCTGACATTCATTCACTCTTTCCCATTGTTTTTCTTGGCTCCCCTCATTACTCAAGTGCAGGAATGCTCCAGCAGGCAGGTGACCTTGAACATTAGAGACACAGCAACCTCTAGACTTCTAAATGTCCAGGGCTCAAAAATATTCCACGTATTTACCATTCACAATAAGATATAATAAAGTAGTGTGCAGTTGCTTACTTTAATTAAAAAAAATAACCTCATATTTAAATATCAATGATGTTGATTTGCTAATTTATTATACCTATGTGTATCTTCGTATATATTTGAGGATCGTAAATGTTAATGAAGAAATATATATATATGTGTGTGTGTGTGTGTGTGTGTGTATGCATATACATTATATATATTATACAAACAAAGATAAAATATGTGGATCAGTAAGATTCAGCCTAGAGAGTAGCAGAGGCAACGGGCATCTCTCTTCTCATGCCGCCCAGGGGGCAGACAGAGTAAACTATGTTATGCATGAATACATACTGCTCCTCCAGAAACCTCAAACTTCAAGTCCTTGACAAAATGGCAGATAAAATGAAAGTGGAGAGGAATATGGCAATAACAAGGGGCAGGCATGTGAAGAGTATATGCTTTGCCTGTGGACATTCAATGATATTTATTTAATTTAAATAAAAAAAATTTTTATCCTTACCCGAGGACATTTTTCCACTTTTTGTTCAGATAGAGTGGGAGAGGAAGAGAGGAAGAAAGAGAGAGAAAGAGAGAGAGAGAGAGAAACATCAATGTGAAAGGAACACATTGAGTGGCTGCCACCCACACTACCCAACCAGGGCCGGGGACAAACTGTAACCAAGGCATTTGCCCTTAGCGGGAACTGAACCCTGGTCTCTCTGGACTGCAGGCTGATCCTCTAACCGCTGAGCCATACAGGCCAGAGCTAATTTTTAAAATTATTTTCCTTTATTGGTTTTAGAGAGAGAGAAAAGGAGAGGGAGAGAAGGAGAGACATCGATGAGAGAGAACATCAATTGGCCACCTCCTGCATGGCCCCCACTGGGGATCAGGCCCACAACCTGGGCATGTTCCCTGACCAGGAATTGAACCAGTGACCTCTTGGTGCACGGGTTGATGCTCAACTACTGAGCCACACCGGCCAAGCCAATGATATTTATTTTTAATAGTAATCCCAGCTAAAGAGATGCATTTGTTTAGTCCAACTTCTCTAAACATTTAATTTGATGCTTACCAATACCAGTACCAAAACAAATTGCTTTCCTCCAAGGCCTTGAAAGTCATGTTTGTATGAAAAGATATTCCTTGGATTCCAAGGTAGGTTTCAAGGCTAAATAATTAAAGTCAGTTTCAAGGGGGAAAATAGCACTTGGAATTTATTCAACTTTCCTGTATGTAGTTGAAAATATTTAGGAGCACTGCTCAGTTACTGGGTCTGCCTAGATGTTCCATCACAGGCATATTGTTTTAGAGAAGTACAAATGGTTTTCTAGCACAAAACTTATTTCCATAGTTTTCAATCTTTATTTTTTAGCCTCAGATATAATGTACCAAATTTATATCTGCCATACCGGCCCATGGGTTTTTACAGATAACTGTTGTACTTTTGAGCCACAGATAAATAAGGCAAGGGCCATTTAAAATTCTCTTTGTTGCAGCTGTAACTTTGCCTCTTTTCTTGGCTGCATAAAAAGGCATATTTCTTCACTGGATGAAATTGGGAGTGTTATAGACAAAAATCTTGATTTACACTAATTATATTTTAAAGCAAATGATATTGTTAAGTATGTTGCATTTAATTACAAATTATTTTCCATACCATTTAAAATCGATTCTTACCTGTAATCTGAAAGGTCTACATCCAGTAAATGATAAAAGTAAAATCCATCCTAGAAAGAAAGAATACAGCAAAACAGAAGCATCATTAACAACCACACCTGTGCTACCCAACGTGGGGATAAATAATGCCTTCTCAGTGAAAGAAGGCTGAGTGCCACTCACTTGGTAGGCACATATAATTCACGTGAACACCACTCTGCAGTAAAGATTAGTTTTTGCATTTGTTTCATGTTATGCCAAATTAAAACAGACCTAAATCTTCAAAGAAATTTGCAGAGAAACCAATAATTTAAAACACAGATATTTGAGAAAAGAAAGGACTCTGGGCTTTTGAAACGGATTACTTGGAAATCATAGTTAAAAGTATGATACCTCTTAGAAAGACCATAGAATATTCTACTATTGGGTCTTTACCTTTAGGAAGTTGATTAATATTCCCCTCCAGGTACAGAATCCATCCAAAAATATAAGCACACATATATTTGTTAAATCCTTAAAATGGCATATTGTTAACTTTTACTTTTATGTAGAACCTTCAGAATATTAAGTCAAACCAGAGATCCTTCACCAGTTCAAATACCTGGAGGACTCATGGTTCATTAAGAATCTTGGATTATTAACAATCACTTCCTTTCAAGTAAGTCTTTCTAGCTACTCAACAGAATATCTTGTTTGTCATCAATAAAGAAAATGTTAAGGATTTAATGATATTGTATTATTAATTATAATAATGCAGGGTATAATATGAAAGGTGTTTGATTTATTTTTTCTTTGGAAAATATTTAAGTATAAATATACAGTGGTAACTTTCATGACACTTACACAGAATTACAGAATTGCCCTTGAAGGCAAAAAGTATTATCCTAAGTTACACTCTGCATGATTTATTGCATGATAAATTTGAATCCATAAAATGGTAATTAGCTGCATAATGTAACATGGTTAGCAGGGTTTTGTTCTGATCAATTTTACAAATTTACATTAACTTGCCAAAACAAAAATACTAATAAAAATATATAGTATATTTGTTATATGTACATCTATTTTCAAATCATTAGCTAACTTATTAGCACTGGCTTTAAATTTCTAAATATATTTGGTTAGATGATTAGTCTTAAAAATTGGAAGTAACATCTTTAGATTTTTACAATTTGAATACTGTGAATTTCCTTGTTAACTTGATGTCTTTATTTTTTACTAATAAAGCTATAAAGCAACTACATTGGTGGAAAAATCGGTGCATTTCAATAATATTTTATTAATGAATTTAACTTTTTCTATGCTAATCATGACTTCTACAATAACAGAATAACATAATAATTTTTATGGTCTATATCATTTTCATATTGCTACTTTAGACTTGATTTGACATGAGTATAATTGTGATTAGAAAATTATGGAAAAGATGTTTAAGTTTTTGATACATATATGCTATTAAACTATCTTAGCAATCAGTTGTACCCATTGCTAAGACTAAATGAAGTTTTTCTAATCTACAGTTGTACAGAGGCACAAACATTCAGTATCCTAAGTGAGCAAATAATAGGTAACATATTTACAATTAAAAATCAAACATGTCTATCTGTTTAGTGTCATCTATTGCTGTTCACTACACTTTCTATCAAATAGTCTACATTAAATTACATTTGAAGTTATCTTTTGGCTGTGGTTTACTCAGAGTGATTAAAAATCCATCCTTTATCTTTTAAAACAAGAAGGGATAATTCGGTGAGTCTCAAATCTCCCTCGAGGAGTTCTCCATATTTGGTGGTTGTTAACCCTCTAAGTCAATGTCAGAGAATGTGATCATTTCCATCTCTAAAATTTCCATTTAATTTAGGCTTGCTGATGCCTGGAGAAACACGAACTCTTCCAGGGAAAACTGAGGAAAGAAGTCAAGTTGCTTTTAGAAATATGATTGCGTTGAGCAGAGAAGGGGAGGAGAGCATGAAGGAGAAGGCCTCCCTTAAAGACAGACTTGTCTCCTAGGCCAGCAAGAATGAGCAAGCAATTCTGGGCAGAACTGCAGAAGCAGGGCTCAGCATGACGCATTTACAGAACTCTAAATAGTCAGCTGTCTCCGGAGCAGGGGTTCCCAATTAAAATAGCCAAAATAATGAAACAAAGAAACAAATCCCAAATGAAAGAACAAGAGACCTCTACTGAAGATGAGATAAATGAAACACTGTTAAGCAAGTTAACAGAGCTAGAATTCAAAGCAAAGATCTTGAGGAAGCTCAACAGCATGTGTAAGGACATGAGCACCATGAGTAAACACATAGAAGCATTAAAAATCAACCAACTGGAAATTAAAAACCACCAAGAAGAAATGAAGAATGAAATAGCAGAAATAAAGAAAACATTGGAAGGACTAAATAGCAGAATAGAGAAAGCTGAAGACCAGATCAGTGAATTAGAAGACATGTAGAAAAAAATCAACCAATCAGAAAACCAAAAGGAAAACACGATTAAAAAACAGGAAGACAGCTTAAGAGAACTGTGGGACAACTGGAAACGTAATAATATTCACGTCATAGGAGTTCCTGAAGGAGAAGAAAATGAGCAATTATTAGAGAATGTATTTGAAGAAATAGTGACAGAAAACTGCTAATTTGGTGAAGGAAGAATGCATTCAAGTTCAAGACACACAAAGAGCCCCAAGTAAGAAGAACCCAAACAGGCCCACACCAAGACACATTGTAACTAAAATGCCAATAATTAAAGACAAAGAGAGAATCCTAAAAGCAGCAAGAGATAAGCAACAGATTACCTACAAAGGAACCCCCATAAGGCTCTCAGCTGACTTCTCAACAGAAACACTACAGGCCAGAAGAGAATAGCATGAGGTAATCAAGGTCATGAAAAACAAGGATCTGAATCCAAGACTACTCTACCCAGCAAGGCTATCATTCAAAATAAAAGGTCAAATAAAGAGCTTCCCAGACCAAAAAAAAAAAAGGCTAAGGGAATATATTAGCACCAAACCAGCACTGCAAGAAATGGTAAAAGGACTGCTGTAATTAGTAGAAGAAACAGAACAAAAAATAAACCACACTAAACAAAGAATGGCAATAAATAAGAACATATCAATTATCACCTTAAATATAAATGGATTAAAATAAAGACACAGAGTAGCTGATTGGATAAGAAAGCATGACTCATATAAGTTGTTTACAAGAGACCCACCTCACAACAAAAGACTCACATAGGTTGAAAGTGAAGGGATGGAAAAAAATCTTCCAAGCAAAAAAAAAAAAAAAGCTGGGGTAGCAATATTCATATCTGCTAAAGTTGATTTCAAAATGAAGACTATAACTAGAGACAAAAAAGGACACTACATAATATTGAAAGGATCTATCCAACAGGAAAATATAACCTTGGTAAACATATATGCACCCAATATAGAAGCGACCAAATATATTAAAAACTTCTGGAGGACTTCAAAGGAGAAATCAACAGTAATACAAACATAGCAGGGGACTTCAACACCCTGCTGACATCACTGGATAGATGCTCTAGACAAAAAAATTAGCAAGGAAACAGAGACTCTAAATGAAGCACTAGACCAGATGGATTTACTAGATATCTACAGAGAATTACATCCCCAAACTAGAGAATTCACATTCTTTTCAAGTGCACATGGGACATTCTTAAAGATAGAACACATGTTAGGACACAAAGAAAGTCTCTACGAGTTCAAGAAGATTGAAATAATATCAAGCATCTTCTCAGATCACAATGGCATGAAACTAGAAATCAATTGCAACAAGAACATGCAAAGACATTGGAATATATATAGGCTAAATAGCATGATATTAAACAATGAATAGGTTACCTAGGAGATCAAGAAAGAGAATAAAAACTTCCTGGAAACCAATGAAAATGATCACACAACACAAAATCTATGGGATGAAGCAAAAGCAGTTCTGAGAGGGAAGTTCATAGCACTACAGGCCTACCTCAGGAAATAAGAAAAATCTCTAATAGACTAACCTCACAATTTAAAGAACTAGAAAGCAAACAAAAAGAAAAACCCAGAGCAAGTAGAAGGAAATAAATGGTAAAGATCAGAGCAGAAATAATGACATAGAGACCAAAAAGCAATTCAAAGGATTGATGAAACAAAGCTGGTTTCTCAAAAAGATAAACAAGATTGATGGACTCTTAGCTAGACTCACCAAGAAACAAAGAGAGAGAGAAACCAAATACACAAAATCAGAAATGAGAGAGAAGTAACAACTGACACCACAGAAATACAAAGGATCGTTAACAAATACTATGAACAATTATATGGCAACAAATTCGACAATCTAAGCAAAATGGAAAATTTCTATAAACACATAGTCTCCCAAAACTGAACTGGGAAGAGATAGAAAATTTGAACAGACCAATAACAACTAAGGAAATTTAAGAGATAATCAAGACTCTCCCAGCAAACAATAGCCCAGGCCCAGATGGCTTCATGGGGGAGTTTTACCAAACATTCAAAGAAGAACTAACACCCATTCTCCTCAAACTATTTTTAAAAATTCAAGAAGGAAAACTCCAAACTCGTTTTATGAGGCCAGCATAATTCTAATTCCAAAACCAGAAAAAGACACTGCAAAGAAAGAAAACTACAGACCAAGATCCCTGATGAACATAGATGCCAAAATGCTAAACAAAATACTAGCAAATCAAATCCAGCAATATATCAAGAAAATTATTCACCATGACCAAGTTAGATTCATCCCAGGGATGCAAGGCTGGTACAATATTCGCAAATCAATAAATGTGATACACCACATAAACAAAATGAAGAATAGAAACCATATGATCATATCAATAGATGCTGAAAAAGCATTTGTCAAAATCCAGCACCTATTTCTGATAAAATGCTCAGCAATGTGGGAATAGAGGGATCATATCTCGACATAATAAAGCCATATATGAAAGAACTACAGCCAACATCATACTCAATGGGTAAAAACTAAAAGTATTTCCCTTAAAAACAGGAACAAGGCAAGGATGCCCACTTTTACCACTCTTAACATAGTACTGGAAGTCTTAGACACTGCAATCAGACAGGAAAAAATAAATAAAAGGGATCCAAATGGGAAAGGAGGTATTAAAACTGTCATTATTTGCAGATGACATGATACTATACATAGAAAACACCATAGACTCCATCAAAAATTGACTAGACTTAATAAATGAATTTGGCAAAGTAACAGGATACAAAATTAACGTCAAGAAATCGATGGAATTCTTATACACCAATGATGAACTCACAAAAAGAGAAACTAAGAAAACAATCCCATTTACCATCGTGGCAAAAAAAATTAAGATACCTAGGAATAAACTTAACCAAAGAAATAAAGGACCTATTTGCCGAAAACTACAGGTCATTGAAAAAAGAAATAGAGGAAGATATCAAAAAGTGGAACCACAAACCTTGTCCATGGATTGAAAGAATTATTAAAATGTCCATACTACTCAAAGCAATCTATAGATTGAATACAATTCCCATGAAAATACCAACAACATATTTCACAGGACTAGAACAAATACTTCAAAAGTTTATAAGGAACCAAAAAGACCCCAATAGCCACAGCAATCTTGAA